CAGCACTCGCAGCAGTAGTACGGGTAACAATTCGTACTGGGCGTTGCTTAAAGCGTCGCGTCGAATGAGGTAAAGCTTTAGTGGCAGTAGTCGTTGGAGTGGAAGTTGTAGTGGTGATGCTGCTGGTGGTGCTGGGAGTGGGATGTAAGTAACAGGTGCAGTGTCGACAGCATCGCTATTGCCACTTGAATGAAGTTACCTAGTCGTCGTTTGCTTGCAGTAAAGTTGCAGTGAGAATATGCGTGCGGCAGCGTTTGCATAATTATTAACGTGCGGGTTGAGGAAGAGGGGGGGATATGCGTGGGGAGGAGGATGAACATGTGGGTCGTGATCACGATCGTTGGAAGTTTGCGGGGGTCTCGATGAATTGAACGAAGTGCCATATGACGATGATGTTCTTTCCCTCCCCCGTTCTCTCTCGCTCCCTCTCTTCCTCTCTCATTCTCAGGCATTCAGACGTCTGCCAGCATTTCCGTCCCTCGGTCGGTTCATCTGCTGGCCTGAGAGGTTGCTTGCTTGCGTACCTGCATCAGTGCTGCAGTGCGTGATGTTGTCTCTATGGCCCAGCTTGTCTTTGTCTGCTACCGTCTGTCTTTGGTATACTTTTGCTCTCGTGCGTCCGTCAGCGTTTGCCTGCGCACGTTTTTGTCTGTCTGAGCCCGTCTGGATTTATCCGTGGCACCCTTCTACTCGCAATCAGTTGGCGTCGCAGCGTAGCCTGCCATGAGTCGCTGAGGAATCCATCTTCTCCTCCCGATCGTGCCCCCGATCTCCGTCTATGCTTCCCTCCTGGATCGCCTCCCCTGGCGTCTCCCTCCTGTCCCTAGTCGTCTCTGTCCCCCCAACTCTTTCTCCCTCGCCGTCGTCCTCCCAATCCCCCCTGATGCCCCTCCTCCCTCGTCGTCACCATTCTCCCCCCGTCGCCCCTCCGCCTCCTCTCCCCCCAGGACTCCCATCCCTCCACCCGTCCTCCTCCTCCCCCTCCTCGCCCTCCACACTCTCCTGCACCGTGGCCGTCCTCGCCCTCGTGGCCCTCCTCTTTCTCTCTCTCTGCCGTCCTCGTCGTCGCCGCCGCCGCCGTCGTCGCTGCACCCCTCCTCGCCCCTGCTCTCCTCGCCCCTGTCGCCGCTGTCTGATGTCGTCCTCCGGCCCTCTGCTCTGTCGCGGCCGCGAGCCAGGCGACGGCCTCGGAGTCCAGCGCGTCCACCACGGCTGCTCCCACCACCGCCGCGCCCACGGCGGCCGCGTCGGCCGGGACTGCCGCCAGGAGCCACGGCAAGAGCCTGCGGGGATCCGCCAACTCAAAGGTGCGCCACGAGGCAGGCGGGCGAGAGAGAGAGGGGTGTCCCGGCATCGGGGCTCCAGGGACGGGGCGGTCCACGCCAGCGGAGGTCGGTCAGAGCGCCGGATAGTTTGCAGGGTCCTGCAGGGCCAGGGGTGCGCTGACCCGGGTCTGGGTGCAGGATCTCGGCAGGGTCCTGCAGGAGATCCCGCAGGAGATCCTGCGAGGAGGCCTCGCTGACCCCGGTTTTGCATTGGCCGGGGTCAGTGCGTCCCCGACAGGCAGAGGAGGGCAAGCCGTAGATGGGGAACGCGGGGAGGCTGGCGAGGAAGTTGGTGGCGAGGAGGGGCGAGTTGAAGGGTGAGGGCGGACGAAGAGGTGGGGTGTGGAAGGGGAGGGATCTGGTTGAGGGAGGGAGGACGAGGAGGAGGAGGAGGAATATGGATGAGGAGGGAGGAGGTGGAGGAGGAGGAGGAGAGGAGGAGGAGGAAGAGGATGAGGAAAAGGGATGAGGGAGGATGAGGGTGGACGAAGAGTTGGGGTGAGGAAGGTGATCTGGAGGGAGGATACGGACCATTAGGGAGGAGGAATAAGGATGGTGACGGATGGGCATGAGAAGGAATATATGGAGGCAGGCGGAGGGGGGGGTTGGCGGGGGGGGGGCGCCATGGTTGAGCAGAATGGGGATGGGGGATGAGAATGAGGGCCGATGATGAATGCGTTGGGGGTTGGCTGGGTGGGTGGGTGGGGGAATCATGAGAAGCCAGGACGCTGAATGAATAAGGAGAAACCAGGATGATTGATCTGTTCGACGCTGATGATGATGGTGATGATGATGATGATGAGGAGATGGATGATGATGATGATGCTGATGATGATGATCATCCTCATGATGATGAGGATGATGATGAGGATGGTGATGGTGATGATGACGATGATGATGACGATGCTGATGATGGTGATGCTGGTGACGGTGACGATGATTATGATTATGATGATGATGATGATGGTGATGATGCTGATTTTTGTGCTGATGCTGATAATGGTGTTTGTTATGTTGACGACGCTGATGATGTTGATGCTGATGCTGATGCTGATGATGACGTTGATTGTGATGCTGCTGATCATGCTGATGCTGATGATGAGTATGATTGTGATACCGATGATGCTGATAACCGTTGTTGTACTTCTGATGATGTTGATGATGATGATGCAGTGGTGGTGGTGATGACGATACGACGACGATTATGCTGGTGCTGATGATGCCGATGAAGATTCCGATGACCATTACGTCGACGATGGCGACGACGACGATGATTATGCTGACGATGCTTATGATGCTGATGATGATGCTGTTGATGGTGATGATGCTGATGCTGAGGATGATGATCATGCTATGATGTTACGACTGCTTCTGAGGATAATGGCGATGCTAAGCATGCCGATGATGATAGCGGTGGTGGTGATGATGCGGACGCCGATGACTATGATGATGAGGATGCCGATGATGACGACGATGATAATGATGCTAGGACGATGACGCTGATGAGATGATGGTGCTGATGATGCTGCTGATGATGATGCTGATGATGCTGATCTGGTGATGCTGCTGATGATGCTGATTGTGCCGATGATGCTGCTGATGATGCTGCTGCTGCTGATGATATTTTTTTGTGGTGATGGTGGTGGTGAGTACTCATGACCTTCCTTGAAATATTTGAAAGAGGTTGCTGCTTCTGATGATGATTCTGATTGCGATTGTGATGTCTACGTTGTGAGGGATGATGAGGAGCGGTGATGACCAGGGATGAGGAGGGAGGCGTAACGAGGTGGATGCGGGTGAGGAAGGGGGGAACGATGGAGGGAGGATGATGTGGACGATAAGTCAGGAAGAGGATACAGTCGACCCGTATAGTAAGGATGCACGATACGGATGCAAGGACCTTGGAAGACCTGTCGACAATTTGCTGGCGGGGCGAGGCCAGCGAAATCGGCCAAGGATGGGCCGATGGGGAAGGATGCAAGGGTTAACCTGGAAAGTTGCTCATCCTTACTATGCGGGTTGACTGAAGTGGTGTTCACATCGATTTCCTTCCGGAATAATGCGTCAGGCCACCACAATGTATTTTGTGTGTGTCGGAAATCGCATGCTGTTCTCGTTGCTACCCCTGGCAAGCGCAGCATGCGAGATCGAAGACGCCTGCGGCGAGCCATCGGCGCGGCATGCCTTCTGGGCACGCCTGTGTCGTGAAGTGTCCAGGGAAAGTGCGGCCGCGCTAGTGAACTGCGTGTTTCCCCAGCCGTTGGGTTGACGCTTGGTTGGGACCCTCTGGGGCTGCCTCAGGGCTGTCTTGGGGCTGTTTTCGGAGCTTCCTGGGGCCCTCTTAGGCCACCTTTGGGCTGCCTGGGGCCGTCTTATGGTGCTTTTTGGCCATCTGACGACTTCGGAGGCCGTCTTGAGGACCTCTCAAGCCAGTCTTGGGATTTATTTGTGTTCATTTAGGGGCGTCTTTGGGTTCCGTCGGGATGTCGTGTGGCCCTCTTGGGCCGTGTTGGGGCCGTCTCCAGGTCCTGATTTGAATAGGCGAGGATCAGACGAACATTTAGCAACCAACTTCTGTTTCAGTGATTTCGATTTCTCGGCCCCCAAGATGGCCAAAGTGACTCCCAATGAGAGCCTTCTGGACACTCTTTGGGACCATCTTGGGCCATCTTGGCATCATCCTGGTCGTTAAGCGTTTGGGAGTCTATCTGGAGGCGTCATGGGTGCGGGCTATCTTGAAAGCCATTTTTGGTGGGCTTTGTGATTTCTTACGTGGCTTTGCGTGCTTTCTGGGTGGCTCGGGCTGGAGACACTTAGACCATCCTGAACCTTGTGCAAGGCCCAGCATGTTTGTCATAGCCCAGCACACCGAGCAATACCTGTGACAAGCACAGGCGGCGGCGGATCTAGTGGCGTTCGGCCAATCCCGCTGCCGTGCCTGCGACGCGGATGACAAGTCTCTTTGAGGGTGTCTTTTGGCCTCTTGGAGGCCTCTCGAGGGTGCTTTTTGGGGGCATCTTGGGGCCTACCGGGTTCTGAGCCTCCGAGGTTTTTCTTGGAGCGTGAAGGAGAGAGAGGGGAGTGCGGGACAGAGCCGAAGGAAATCTTCGTCCGTTTCCCCTTGTTTCCTCGGGATTGGGGGCACTGGTTCTCAGAGTGCCAGCTTGCTGTCCTCCTCGGTGGCCTTGCGGCTACACGTCGTGTCGGTACCCACTTGATCCTGTCGGCGTTTGCAGTGAGCGTGCCATGCCATGCCAGGCCGCCGCGACGACCACTTCACTGCCGTACGACTGTGCCGCCGGCTTCAACAATTGGAAGGCGCTGGTCGGAATGAAAGCTCAGCTCGCCCAGGCATGCATTTCAGAGGCATCACCGTCGGTCCCATCGCCCTTTAAACGATCTCAGCAATCATTTGCGCCACCTTGGAGGCTATCTTTCTATGGCGCTATCTTGAAGCCACCTTGGCCCAACTGCGTCCAGAGGTCGGCCCCGGTATGACCAGATCTTTCAAACGTTGATGGTTGTTCAATGGTTTTGGCTTTGAGCGAAAGAGCGATCCTTCATTGCCACCGCCCCTCTGGAGCCTGAGCAGTCGATTCGTGCAGCTGCTCGTTCTGTTACGGGCGTCCGGGTGATAGGCGGCCAGCCGTGCCGAGCGAAGCCCCGGGCCCACCCTGCCCGCGCGCCTGGCGGCTCTCTGGGGAGGTGCTCTTCATCGCGAAGAGGGTGCGGGAGGACGAGGAGGAGAAGCGGGGAGGAGTTACAGGAGGAGGAGGAGGAGGAGGAGGAGGAGGAGGATGAGGATGAGGAGGAGGAGGAGGAGGAGGAGGAGGAGGAGGAGGAGGACGAGGAGGAGAAGCGGGGAGGAGTTACAGGAGGCTTGGGAGGAAGCGCAGCGTGCGCGCGTTTGCGGTCGCGGCCGGGCACACGCGGAGGCGTTGCGTGCGTGCGTGCGAGCGAGCGAGCGAGCGAGCGAGCGAGCGAGCGAGGAGGAGGAGGAGGAGGAGGTCCCGTGTAAACCCAAGAGACATCAACGATGCTGGAATAAACCCTCCCTACAAGCTCCCTCTTCACAGGCCCCCACAAGGGTTCATTTTCACTGAGGAAACTGCCTCGTTAGAGGACAACGGTTGGAAGACCCTGAAGCATGCCAAAACACTGTTCTCGGGATTTCAATGCCATGGATCAACCTGACTGCTGCGTTTTGACGATCTTGATTCGTGCCAGAACGCCATGAGTCCTTCCCCCAACAAATTTTTGGTATGCTGATCATGGGAATCCCTGGAACTCTTGCAAATGTTGAACACGAATGTGCGCGGCGCTGAGGCGAGAGCCACCTTTTGAAAGGAAGCGCCCTCAATCCGTGAAACTCTTGCAGCTTTTGAAAACAAATGTGCGCGTCGCTGAGGCGAGAGCCACATTTTGAAGATGACCCGCCCTCAATCCGTGAAAACGAATGTGCGCGGCGCTGAGGCGAGAGTCATTTTGAAAACCACCCGCCCTCGATCCGTGAAGCCCTTGCAAAGTTTGAAAACGAATGTGCGCGACGCTAAGGCGAGAGCCACCTTTTGAAAAGAAGCGCCCTCAGTCCGTGGAACCCTTGCACATTTTCGAAACGAGTGCGCGCGTCGCTAAGGCGAAAACCACATTTTGAAAACCATCCGTCCGCCATTTGTGCAACCGTTGCCACTTTTTAAGCCTCAGGGTTTTAAGTGGTGAGAAAGTCTCAGGCGCAACGCCCAGCCCGCCCTGAAAACTGGTGTCGGGGTGCGACAGGGATAAGTTGTTCATATGGAAAAGGAATGCAGGAGGAGGAGGAGGAGGAGGAAGACGAATAATACTAATAATAATAATAATAAGAAGAAGAAGACGAATAATGATAATACTAAGAAGACGAATAATGAGAATACTAATACTAATACTAATAGTAATACTATTACCAATGATAATAATAAGAATAATAATAAGACGAATAAGACGAATAAGACGAATAATAAGAATAATAAGGCTAATAATAATATTCAGAATAATAATATTCATAATAAGAAAAATGATACGAAGAAAAAGGATAATAAGACGACTAATAATAAGAAGAGGACGAAGAATAATAATGATAAGAAGAAGAAGAGGAGGAGGAGGAGGAGGAGGAGGAGGAGGAGGAGGAGGAGGAGGAAGAAGAGAGGAGGAGGAGGAGGAGGAGGAGGAGGAGAAGGAGTGGGGGCAGCAGCAGCGACAGTGGAAGGAGGCTTGAAGAGGGGGGGGGAGACGGAGGCCGCGGCTCGGGCCCCCCGTTCTCGCACGACCTCCGAGCCCCTTGTTCTCTCCGAGGGGGCCCTCGTTCCAGCGCCGCCCGCGGCCGCAAGGCGGGGTGGAGCGACGGGAAGAAGCGGTGGTGCTGCGACCACGAGCAGGCCCCGCACGGGGGTGGGAGCTGCGGGCTGCCACCTCCCAGGAGCTGCAGGAGAGTGTGGCTGCTTCTCCCTCCTGCTCCTCCTCCCTCCGGCTCCCTCCTCCTCCTCCCTCCTGCTCCCTCCTCCTCTTCCTCCTCCTCCCTCTCCACCTCCTCCTGCCCCCCGCTTCTCCTTCTCCTCCTCCTCCTCCTCCTCCTCCTCGTCGTCCTCCTCCGTCTCCTTCCCCCCCCTTTCTTTCTCCTCCCTCCTCGCTTCTCCCTTTTCAACTTCATCCTCCTCCTCTTCATCCGTCCCCCCTTCTCCCTCCCCCTTTTTCTTCTCTTTTCCTCCTTCTTCCTCTCTCGCCCGGCTCCTTCGGCTCCGCCGCTCCCCTCCGTCGTGCCCTGCACCTCCCCGAGGATGGGGATGATGGGCACGAGATGGATACAAAGGGGCAGGAGCCAGAGGAAAGCGGAGGGGAAAGAGGTGACCGTGACGGATGCCGATGACGATGTCGGTTATGATGGCGATGTTGATGATAATGATGATGATGATGATGATGATGATGATGATGATGATGATGATGATGATGATGATGATGAATCAGATGACGATGGTGTTGATGATGATGATGATGCGACTGCTGCTGCTGATGACGAGGCGGGTGAGGACGACGATTATGATGAGGATGATGGTGATGATGCTGCTGCTGTTGATGATGCTGGTGATGGTGATGGTGATGATGATGATAATGCTGACTGATGAGATGATGATGATGATGATGA